CCCCAAAACCCCAAAACCCCAAAACCCCAAAACCCCTGGGTTAGGTATTTGTGTTGCACTTAAGATTTTTGTTCGATATAAAATAGTTTTTATGGTTTTTCGGATCTTTAAGTGGGGTTGGAAATGCTATCTTGAGTGGATTAGGTGGAGTTCAGAGATGGCATAAGGAAGATTCTATATATTTATCAGTGGGATTAAGTTCTAAGGGAAGCTTACGATGCATATTTCCTTAGTTTCTATCATAAAATTGATCAAATTTTCCTTTCCAAACCTAAAACATTGATTCAAATCATTACCAAATAGGAATATATTGAGCATATAGCTAGTATAGCAAGTGATACGATTGTTGCAAAGATATTGTTTCCTCTGGATGAAGACTAAAAGTTGTTACTTTGAATCAGGAATAACTTACCAGTTCTTCACTATAGCTTGAGAATATGCTGTCAGTGAAGGGATCTGAGCACTGAGCTTCTTCTAATTCTCTCACAACTGCGTTAAAAGATATTGTGCTTATAATGTTTGAGAGGCAGCACCAAAGAATAATCAACATCAGACCAATCTTCATACCCAGGATTATATAGTTTGGTTTCTTTTGAGTAAGATTACAATATCTCAAAGTATTATTATCAAATCATGAGAAAATGCATACAAAAATCGCACAAAGCATAAAAAACAAGAGTCCTAGAAGTAATGCTACCCCTAACGAGTCAGTAACAGAGCCAGACCCTTCAACAGACCCCAAAAGCTCCTTCCTACTGACCCCATAATACACCTCTCACTCCAAACTCCATTCATAATACCTATTCACATAAAACCCCCAAAACTCCTCCTCCCCCTCAGGATAGAACGGCAAGTCCTTCGTAACTTCACTGACCCCATTCGTACTATAGAGTCTATCTTCTCTGATCTCACCGACTAGAAAATACCTTGGGTCTGTGTAAGAGTCAGCAATTTCAGTCACGCATGTTGAGTTTTCTTTCTTTAGTAGTTTATAAAAAGTTCGATCTTTAGGAGTGCTCACTTCATTCGACAACTGAAATCCCCTAAGCCCATTTCAAAATCCCCAAATGCAACCCTATGTTCCTTATTCGGACTAGCACATACCTCGCCTTGAGACAACTTGGTTCTGACAATAGGCAGTTTAGAGGCCGTATCAGTGAAGGCAAGCACTATGTTAGAGTCCAAGCTAAGTTTTGTGTAATTCCCTTCAGGAATCTCAGAAGTAGTATCAGTGATAATGATGTCGTTGATTGGACAAGGTTGTGAGTCTTTCACACAAAATTGATTCTTAGCTTCACCAGATCCTCATGTTTTGTAATCTCTAGGACATTTGCCCATTCCAAAACTTTTAGTTGGCCTCTCGCTTTTATCAAAAGATTCGCCTTGTCTCTTTCCACAGATCCTTGAAGAGTAGAACTTATTAAGAGGAATCGAGCCTCTTTCATAAACATCTGTACATCCATCACTTTTCTGGCTTCCACTACAGCTACCAATCTTAAGGTCATCGGAATCTCTCCAATTCTTGCTACAATCTCATCCCTCCTTGGTTCCAGGCCATTCACCAACGACGAGGTCTTCATATCCTCTAGGGCACCTGTTCTGGCCGAGTTGGATATCAACTATACACATGAGCATATATTTATGAGATGGTCTTACCAATAGGCTGGAGGCTCCAATTAGTCTTGAAGTCAACTAATAAACGGTTGTACCGAAACACTCTTCCAAATGCACTTGTTATCGCAATCAAGTTGACAAATGACAGGATGAACAGACCAATTCGATACCCTCGCCTTATCCAATTTAGTGTTTTAGGTGTTATCTTCAGGCTCCAGAAGCCTCATATGAGGATCGTCTTCCTTAGAAACTTCCATTGGATGAATAGAAATTGGAATATCGGGCTTTGGAAGCTGATCAAGATGCAAGAAGTTCTGATCCATTTTAATCAATAATATTTTAAAAGCTAGGGGTTTTGGGGTTTTGGGGTTTTGGGGTTTTGGGGTTTTGGGG